GGGCTGACTGAAGTCTGAAATGGTGCATGAGTTGGATGAATCTCAAATTCTTTTTGGCTTCCAGGTCCTGACGAAGGCGGTAACGCCGAAACGTTGACTGAATAAAGTGCTGTACCATCTTGGCTGAGGCTACACCACACACCTTCATACCGGAACTCACACGATGCCAAGATTCATAGAAAGTCGTTCATGGTCGACTTAGTATTGTAACCCATACAACATTCGCTATTGACCTTTTGACAGTTGATCATGCCGGTTACTCTGAACAAATTGGACTTTAGAGCCTTCTGCATCGCAACCATCATTTCCGTTACTCCATGTTGCGTCCACAGCTAGCATAAGCATTCTAATAGCGCTGCACGAACAGTTCGTTGCTCGGGCATGGGTACATTCACCCAACTCCGGATGGACACGGCAAATTCGCGACGATTTGTACGATTCTGGTGCCTATATTGAGGCACAAACTAGGAGTAGATTAGTAGTATTATCTGACCCTACTACTCTACAACACTTCAGGTTCGTGCCTCTATAAACGCCAAAGTCGTTCGAATCGCCGCGCATTTCCCGCGTCCATCCAGAATTGGGTGAATGTTACCGCTTCGTTGCTCACATCTCTTGAAAAACGAAGTTTTCCACGGCGGCAAGGACCCTTCTTCGGTCTTCAAGGCACAGTTCTTGATAGAAATAGTTTCTGAGTTCTCTCCCTATGAACACCCAAGGGTAGCACGAGGAACGCTGCCAAGTCCCAAACCTCAACAGCTAAGGCATAGTTGGGCCCTGTTACCGGTTCGCCCGGACGTCCCGCCCCTCGATCAATGTCACGTCAGACGAGTGTCGAGGCGATACACATTGCAGTATTCATTCCAGGACCCACACACAATCAGCTGATCGCAGTAATATAAGGCGACGTTTTCCTCCCATTTCCTTATTCTCTGTTATTCTTTTAACTTCTGCGATCCCTATTTTGACTTTCACCTTCAAGAGGCTGAAAAAGGTGCACTATTTTGGCTGTATCCAGGTTTTTTGTTAACTTTGCTTATAAGTGACTGAATTTTCGCTTACCGTAATCAGCTATTCGCACCAGGACTCGCATGTACTCACTGACGCACATAGCATAGCTCGTCCGGCGTCCCATTCATCTTTTTTCTGGTCTCATTCTCGTCCAGACCCTTTTTAACGATTTTTTGAAGCCTTCACTATGGGGACACCGATTCACGCAGTTTTTTCGCCTTTATCGCACTATTTTCCACTTTATCTTCCATTTTTCGTCATAATCTGGATTCCCCAAAATTATCGTGAACTGTCTTTGAAGTGGATTTAACAGCTTATCAAACTGTCCGCAAAGATGAAATCTTCAAGTAGTAGAAAAAGCAATCCCAAAAATGCAGATCAAAAGTGAATATTACCTATGTACTGCCGGTGGTTACGAGTTAGACGCAATGCGTCCATTCTTCCTGACAAAACCACGTTTCAGAACAACTTCTTCAAAAGGAATCGGCTGCTTATATTATTCATTGAACATTAGAACCTTGACAAAATAATGACGAAAGCGAACACTAGTTTCACCTTATCACACATAAATTCAGTGGCTAGAATAGAATCTCACTCTTACATTATGCCAAAGTAAAACTCGCATCAACAATTACTTTGTTCCACAAATTATGCACATCATTATCAATCTGACTACAAAATATATTATGCAAACCGGTTAAGAATTGAACAATGTTTGGAAAGATAAATTCAGAAAACCAACTTTGTTTTATGTGATTTAAAGGGAGAATTAGGACACCCACAATATATACTAGTGTACTAATAAGTTCCTGAATGACATGAGCCTGCCACTTCGTCTATGATAACAAACCTCTACTTCGTGAAAGGCATTCTGAACTGTATTAAACCCAACCACAACAAAATCTCGATAAATCAAGAATCCTATCCTACATTACCAAAACGCTTCTAGAAACGAAATGATAGAATGAGAAAGCACAGTCAATATTAAATCAAAAGACTGAACGATATGACATGCGAAAGAGCTTTCCATCAAATCAGATAGAGAATTCCTCGCCATACCTTGCCATGAAGTACATCAAAAACAAACCAGTGAACAACCCAACAGATTGCAGGAACAGTACGTAAGCGCCGCGACGTAGCGACACATTCAACGCCTCCTCCATTGCCTTTTTCATCTCAGGCATCTAGAAAAAGATAAAAAATTCGTACAAGAAATTTTGCATTCTACAAAACCAAATATTAAGCCGTATCGAGAATGTTCTGACTGCCTATCTACATATCTTTTCAAAGCAAAATCATTCACCATACAACCCAGCGATATGTAGAGGAACATTCCACCAGCTAAAGCAAACGCATACTTTGATACGTCCGGACCCAATTCGCCAATACCTACACCAATGGCGAAGCCTGAATTCAATTAGTGGTAGAAGGCAATGCAACACCTAAAGTGGTTATGTAAAAGGAAACAGGCCGAGCTCACACAGCACTAACTACTGTAATGAACAGGGCCTTTGAAGCTTTTTCAATGTTTTGTTTGGTAATGGTAATTGGTAATGTTTTGTTATAAATCCGAAACGGCATCAACACACAGTATTATAGTAGTACAGTGGTTCTATCACATGCAACCCACCGATGTAACATGTTATGGCACTAAGGAGGTTGTAGAGAAGTGCTTGGCGAAGATTCATCCCAGACGCGACAAGGATTGCAACATCACCTAAAAAGGGTGGTAAACTGGTAGTGCAAATCGAGAAGCTGTACGCTAGATTATTTAGGCCCCTCTTCAAAAATTCTCCAACCTATGAGCTTATTTTCAGTCGTCTGCGGCATTCACACTTTTAGAGTATTCAGATTCTGGAAACAGATGGTGAGGAATAAACGCGGGACAGAGCAATGTCAAGCGAGTACGGTTTTCTAGAAAAGTCCTACTCCAGAAAGCCTGTCGCAACAAAAGCAGCAACCGATGAAGCGAGGCTTGTCGCAAATGCAGGGATCTCTCACAAAGGAAGAATAGGATGGACGAAATTAACATTAAACCAGCAGGATCGCCCAGCTGACGCCAGTTTCTTTTTGTTTTCGGGTCAAACTTGGCCTGCCGCCCGCTCCTCTTCCAAATTTGGATGCTCTTGTACAGGAGAGCAAGAGTTATGAATTTCGTGGAAGCGCTCATATACTTCGAACATCTCGTCAGCGCCCTGCCCGCCTTGAGCACTGCTCAAGGCTCGGGTACTTTCGTCACACACACGTAGCGCGTTATATATTTAGGATTGTAATAATAACAATAGTCACGGCAGCGTAAGGGTTAATAGGCGCAGCATCCGAAAAGCACAGGTACGGGTCTAGGTTCCGTCCGAAGCTAAAGTTCCACAAATTCACAGTAAAAACCCATAGAACCTTTCTTTGATAAGTATCCTTAGATGATCCTTCCGAAATAGCTCTTCATTGATTACCATCAAGCTGTTTCATCCGTTGTACTGTTGTCCTTGCTGGATGTGCGCGGGCATAACGTTGGCATACAATCACCCCTGCTCATAAAGCAGCGTAGGCCCTTTGCCTCTATACGGATAACCACCCTTACGAGCTGATGCTTTCATTGTAAGCGTTCAGGTCATTTTCAGACCAAGAAGTTTGGAATATGGTAGATCTTTTTCGGAAAATAATGATCCCCTGATCAAATCTTCTACAGGCTTCACTTTCTGGATGATCTTCGAGTGGCTGATCCTGCGGAAGTCAACAAAACTCAGCTTGAGCGAGGGCGTCAAAAGGAACCATTCAGGCAGGCATTATGTAAAGTCGAAGAGTCAAAATTGATATGACCGACAGGGCAAGAGCAGCTCCTGCGAAAGTTTGTTGAAGGTCAACGCCATTTTGGCAGCTCTGGTGAAAATTCAAAAAAAAAATCGGAAGGAGTAGTTCAAAGAAGGATTGCACTCACCTAGCTCATGAGGAAACTCCTCAGCAAGTACAGCAAGCGAAATCGACAGACCGGAATACATCGATTCCGCAAACGACGCACCAATTGAAATGCCGTCGATGAAATTGTGAAAACCATCCCCAAAGATGATCATCCACGCTACCGCGGCTATTGCCGAGTCGCCAGCACGAAATTCGACGGAGTGGTCGTGCACACAGATTCCATGAGCCTAAAAGAAGCTTCTGAGAAATTCTACAGACTTCATCTGTTTCGTAAACGAAAGTTAGCTGTAGGACCAACAAACCCTTTGCAACAATAGTTGTGATCGCTCTACCTATCGTTTCTTTTACACTAATCAAATCAACTACACACAGAAATTCCGAGTTACTTCGAAACAGAAGGATAATTCAAAACACCCAAGTAGGACGCTGTTACTCTGATCTCGCTGTTAGGTTACTTGGTGATTAGCACGAGAAAGTTCCAGCGTTAATGTACATATGATCCTACTGGAATCGCCACGCTTCTCCAACGCGATTCCAGTCTCCCGAAGGACGAATGTTCAGGAGTACATTTCATGATAAATAAATACACTAGGATAGAAAAGAGTTTTAAACTAGGACAATCCTTGGCTCCTAAGTACGCGGCGCTGTCGGATCAATCATTGCCTAGAGAGGGATTGGAAGCAAAAATAGTTCAAAGACAATTTAGTTGACGTTCACTTTCGAAGGCGGACGTCTTTAACGGCGTCCTAAAGGCTGTACCAGTGGAGCACATTTTCATAGTTCGAACAACGAGCCGTGAAGCACGGCGGTGTGGTTTGGCATTGCTGGTTTAACGCAGCCTGCTCTTTACGCACTTATACTCGGCTTCACGGCGTTATAGAAGGGGAATTTGGCGGCGACGACTAACATCTCGGCCGAACACTCCTTACATGCAGCTTTGCTCGTCATCTCGTACAACCCCCTGGTTTTTATAAACCGGGTCTGGGTTCATACGCGCGTCCGAGGATGCGCGCGGCAAATTGCGCGGCCAAGTGCGTGGTGATTCGAACGACTCTGGCGCCTATAATTGGGGCTCAAAATTGAAATACAGTAGGTTAGTAGGGTCAGCTAATACTACTAATCTACTCTACTTCAAATTTGGGCCACAACGATAGGTGCCAGTCGTTCAAATTACCACGCACTTCGCCGCGCAATCTGCCGCGCACATCCTCGGACGCACGTAAGATCCGCCCCCCCCCCCTTATAAGCCCTATGTATCTCAAGCCCAGCCAACTTTCTCGCTTTCTTCGCCACCATTGTAATATTCTCCAACAACATTAAGGATCATCAACTTAAAAATGATATCTTAATCATAGCAAACTGAGTCTTCAAGCAATGCTTAGCCTTATGTGAGAAATTACGGTGCAAAATATAAGAAGTTCGGGTAGTCCAAAAGAAAACGAATCCACAGAAATCATTGAGTCACCCAGCGATTGGACTGACCCCATTCATCGCTATGTATACCACATCCCCATGAAGTGTTCTATCACTGGTACTTTCATGCAAACTTTCGAAGCACTGAAAAATTGAAGAACTTCAAGATTTCCAAAATGAGCTCCTAGTGACGGGACCACCTACTGAAATAGTAACGATTTTCCTAAACTCAGATGTACACGTTAAAGTAGGGGCCATCCAATATACAAACTTGGAGACTTAAGGCTCAAGAGCACGCACGGTTCACGATGAAAATTGTTACTGAGTTCTTCCCGTAGGGAATACTCAGTGGCTCCCAAGGGTAATAGAAAGGACCGCTCGCGCCCAGAAACTCGACGGTCAGGGCATAGTGGAAGCCCTGTTCCCGATTCGCGCGGCCTTCCCGCCCCTCGACCGATGTCACGTCAGACGACTGTCGAGACAATACAGATTGCAACTATTCGTTCTAGGACCCACACACAATCAGCTGATCGTCGAGTGATGAGGCGATGTTTTTCTCCCGTTCTTTTTTCCTCTGTTGTTATTTTGCTGTTGCGATCCCCAACTTAATTTTCTACCCCAAAAGGTTGAGGTTCAAGCAGTTGTTTCGCCTTCATCGCACTATTTTCCATCTTATTTTCCATTTTAAGTCATAATCTGGACTACCCGAAATCGTCGTGAACTGTGCCTTCATGCGACAATTTGGACAAACCTACTATAAAAAAGCACAGGAAAAAGGATGCTGCAGAAGATGTGATATGGATGAGAAAACAAGTGAGAACTGAAGGCCTTTTGAAGCCTTTCTACTATTTGTAAGTCGCTCGATATTATGGGATCATCCTTATACTAAGTTAGCCCTTCTCTCATCACAAGAAAGCTTCTCATACCTCAAGAAAAAAGTCCAATTCTACGAATGTCCACGAGGAGCTTGTACGGCATATAAAACGCTAACAACAATGAGAAGCTGGATCACTTGAAAGCGAGAAAGTGACCACTTCTGAGGTGGGAAAAACCATGTGTCCTTACTAGCAAACAAATCAACTTTTTTTTTCCTAATGCAGTGAGAGAGAAAATGGTACATCTACACTTTGACATTCACTTCCAATCAAACTATTCATATTTTATAGTGAGCAGTCTTGATTCAACCCTATATTACAGCTCTAAGCTTTGATTTGTTAAACTGATCTAGTCCAAACGACACTGCCACAAAAAGGTTAGTCCTTTGGCACCAAATAAAAATTAAAAAGGAAGAAAAGGAAACTGTCATTCCTACTAACAGAACTTCGATGATGGCTATTCTCGTCGCCAAATTCGTGCTGGTTCAACGTGTTCGTTTTAAAAATTGCTCCAAAAATCCGAAGAGAAGACATCTTGCAATGGCGTCGGGAGGAAAAGCACTAAATGGAACCGCCAACATAAACTTGCCCATGCTCGCCAAGAAAAAAATCGCATCCAATACAGAATACCAGAAACCCCAACAACTTGGCAAACTGAAGCTGAACGTTGAGGTCTAATTTTGATGAATTTAGTTCCCAGAGCCGTTATGAAAATCGTTATTTCATAGAGGTGAGTTCCGAGAGAAAATAGAAAAGAACTAGAAGCAACGACGAAACAGATTTTATTGCCCAAAGTGTAGAATTTATGGCATTGATAGAAAAACATCAAACCATCACCACCACCTCCAGAAAAATTTGAACATAAATTACCTGATCGCCCATCGATTTACCAGCACTGTTCTCGAGCTTCAACAGTTCGATGTCATTTGTTCCTGTCTTGTTCGAAGATTCCTTCAAAACAACATGATTAATTGTTCATCTTAAAGGCTAGAAACAAAAGGCCTACTTACATTTTCATGGGAGTTCTGTTTGTTTGAAACGAGCGCAGAATCGCTGCGATTCGAAAACTCGTCTCGATCGGATGTTTGTACAGTCATGATTTGCGAACGGTTGCGCTTTAATAAAAACTTTTCTGGGATTTCGAATTGTATTGTTCTTTTGTTTTCTACAACCGTTAATATCGAGCCTTCGGCACGGTCGCAATCGTACTCAAACTAGCGAATCACTTGTCCTCAGGAAAACCGAGGCCAGGTCAAATGACAACTTAGCTCTTCTAAACTTCATTCCACTTCCTGATAAGACTGGTCTGTCCCGAGGGAAATCTCCTACCAAGCACATATGACCGTCTACAACTCAGCAGCTTCTATCTACCAGGCAGTGACTATTTTCCTTTCGAGTTTTTATCAACTATAGACCTTACAGCACAGTACAAGCATCCATAACCGAGCAGTCTACACAATATTATTGACATTCATTTGTCCTTGATATTTGCATTAAGAAGAATGCAAACAACTCTGTTACATCACTGATGAGGGTGTTGTCTTAATAGGAGAAAAAGAACCAGGGGAAATTGAATGCCGTTAGGAGGCACAGCCAAATAAAATTGGAAGATCAAGTAAAGTAATCTATGTGTACTACTGAAGGAGAGCAGAAGACTCACTTTTCGCATCTCTAGCACTATTTTGATGATTTTATCACACATGAAAAATAAGTACACTCCGATGAGTGAAAAATGGGCCATATGAAGATATGAGTGCGTTAGACGTCCTTGTTCATCAGCCTCCTCGACAAGCGATGGATGAGCCTGAAACAACAGAGAACTGAACGAAAATATGATGATGTGCACTAGGTGGTGATAATGGTCTGAATAAAATGCATAACAAACAGTATTACGAAAAAAAAAAACTATTTCACCTGCGGCAAAAGATGATAAAAACTAGATCCCGATAATGAACCAACACCTAATCCGACAAATAGAGTGATAACCTGCAATCACATTGACAAATGCCGTAGTTGAAACAAACCATCTGGGCAAAATTTGAATTCACCTGATTGTATATATCCTTAGTGAGATATCGCATGACACCAATTCCAACAACAGCGCACATATTTATAATTGTAACAAACAGCAATCCAACTCCCCAGACTAGAATGGAAATGCTTTGCCGCAGTGAAAACCAGGAACTCAATCCGCAAAAAAAAGGACAGCTCAAAATAGCAATAACAGCTGTAAGGGTTTCTGGGAAATTTTATATGATTACTATAACAGGAGAGAGAAGCCGACAGTCCCTTTGGCGAAAGTTTGCAAAAATTTGCACTTGTGCAGTTCATTGTTAATATTCATTTTTTACCCTCATAATTCCCTCTCAAAAACTTAGTGAAAACTCTCCGAAAAACTCAGACTGCTCCTCATACCCCCGAACGGCAATCATTGCTTGTTTTCCCTTACCAAGTTCCCCGATTGAAAGCTTAAACAATGAACTTCGTACCACCTGACAAATGAAACATGATACTCAAAACTTCGAAAATATTAAGAACCTACGTGAACATCAGAAACCACCCGAAAAATGCTAAAACCCACCCATATATGACGAGGGTCTTCCATGGAATCCGCTGCTACTTTGTAAGGCAGATAAGCCTGATAAAGACGTGTCATCGGCAGTAGCAAAATTGATAGAATTGTTCAGCGATGGCAACGAGTCGTTTTGCATCAACGCGCAAAGCTGTCGTATTTGAGATTGAGTGAGATTCGCGACTGAAGTCGATGCGTCCCATGGAAAGGCATGAAGTACCATCACTGAAAGCCTTGCTCTTTTCGCAGGCAACTTTCAAACAACCTGAAGGTATGCACGATTGTGATCAAAAAATGAAAGAATAAAGTGATTTCTACAATGCAATCAATCAACGGTGATATCACAAGAGACGCGCAGCGCAGATTGAAGCTTACGGCATTTATTCGTTACATCGCTTCCGCAAAAGCAATCCGCCCCCTGACGATGAGTGGGAGTTCAGCAAACATTGTGACATGAGTATGAAGAGAATTGCTTTGAGCAAATAAGAACAATTTCTGAGCAAGTTTTTGCCAGTAAGGGCATAAATCATCATAGCATTCCTTATTCTAATGCCGCGCTGAGTTAAGGACTTTGGTTCAATGCGCTGCAAGAAGATGTGATGAAATCACAAAATCCGATCAATTGAAAGGTGGAACACCCAGAAAAGAGGAAATTGAGTGAAATGATCAAAAAGATTTTCAGTTCTAACGATTCAAATCTTTCACCGAACCAGGACAAAAGAACATACAGCGATCACAATGTTTTTCGAAACAAAAGCCACAATCTGCATGTTTATGTTGAATATCTCGACTGAAAGCACGAAAAATGAGAAGAGGCACGGAGCCCATCTGAAATGAATGAATTCTAGAACATGATGAAAGACGAAAGTTGCCGAGAAGTTATCATCTTCATTACATCTGTGATGAAGAAATCATAGAGGGGAAAGGACCGGGCAACAAAATCTGTATGGGGACAGGGAATTTCACTTTTCAAGAGCAGCTTCCATGACTATAAAAACCTTGGAAACAAAAAGCATGCAGACCTTAGCGAACTCAATAGTTCACCCTGAATAGGCTTGGGTCATCCAGACGGTTAGGATAGAACACTGAAACCACACATGTTTTGTCCTGGATTCCCAAGTTTTAACTTTTTAGGGATTACTTCACGGTGGACTAATCCGCGAGCCTTGTGGACCATGTGCACTTACACCCGAACTCTGAGAGCAGCTACAATAAGAAAGGGCAAAGGTAAAGTTACGTCACTCAGTTTGGAGTTAAGTTAGATGATGTGATGTTATAACACAGCGGACCCGTCACATCTTGATTAGCATTCATATGCTTACTTGAGGAAGGCTGGAAAACAAACAATGTAGGGAGTGCATATTAACAGATTTATCCAGCCAAGGAACAAAGGGCTATTAAGAAAATCATAGGATTACGGAATCGGAAATAAATCAAACACCAATGGGAAAGAGTAAAGCTACTCCATCGACCTGATAATAACCGTAGAGTGTGTTGGGCTGAATCGAAATATAATTGAGGTCTCGCGGCAGCGCTTTCGTTACGCACATAATTAATTAAAGTAGAAAGCTACATTGAGGAAAACTCAGATATTGTTAAAAAGAAAAGGTGACCAGACAAAAGAGACAAGAAACTCCTTTCGTTGACCACAACCGCCTGCAGGACATCCTTCCCTTCAGCTTATGCAACATTTCCGATCATTATATTTTTGGAAAGGAGAGTGTCTGGAGTCAAGCGGGCGTTTCAAGAGAGAAACCTGGCACAGTAGAGGGATGCAACTGAGACTTACGCTCGTGGCTAAGAAATCTCGACACGTTGTTCTTGATTCCTATGTTTATCATTCATCAGGGATTTTGTTCTTCTCTTTATAGGCCTGTGGCGCACCTTTCTTTCTAACTGGGCAATCTGATTATTAAACTGAAGCCTTGAAAGGGTATTGTAAAACCAGTCGGGCCGCCCGGCTAACGCTGGGCTCCCCTCCCTATAGTGTCGCCCGGCTTCGCCGGGCGCTTTCTCTTTTTGTACGGAATTTGCTATGCATTCGGAATTTCCTTTTTCTTTGGAGGCTCTACACCCTCACTATTAGCTCCGGATTGGGAGCATTTTTTTCTGCATTATAATTAATTATATATTGATTAAAAGTGGCGATTCACTGCTCTTCATCTCGAAATTAATTGCCGGATTGATGGCTTAACTGATTGACAACCGATGTTTTGAATGGCAGAAATGGATAATAACGCCTATCACAGATGTCGTTATCAATGGAACATTTTCTCTACGGATTTTTCATTAATTGGGAATCCCAAATCATTAGCGGTCAGATGAGTTTGGTCACAAATGATATGTCACAAAACAAAAAGGAATCGTGGTACTTCACTGTGTCACAAAGCTTCCTGCATAACGGTCGTAGTTTAATAGCAAGAAATGAACAAAATTCTCATTTCGTAGTGGAGAAAAGTCTTTGATCGGTCGCTATTACAGCATTTACAGCATTAAAGGGTCAGTGTTTGATCATAAATACCTTTTTGCTCTCCAAGACCCCTTATCAGTTCTTATCAGATGTTATCAGTTCCCGTCACAGAGTACCTACAACCACGTGACATCCTACATTGCCATCTTTGAAAAGGTTCCACTGTTGACACGAAGGGGATTGCAACGCTTGCTCGCTACTATTATCTGTCCTTATCACTAATCAACTTCGGTACCTTCACATCCTGCACTATCTACTGGAATGCTCGGTTGTTAGTATCAAAGGCGTTGTAGGCTTGTTGGCCTTCGCCTCCTATCAGCTTCTATCAGTCTCTAACAGTTCTCCAAAGTGCCAAAGCTCTGCCGTTAACAGGAAGTAAGCAACGGAGGTTCCTGTGGCTCTCGCCTTTCAGGGCTTTTTATCAACACCTTTTGATTGTTATCACCGCTTCTCACCTATCATCGGCGTTCCTATCCTGCTTTCAGTACTCCTTAAATTCCACGCAATAACACCACGTAAACAGGAGCTATGAATTTGCAACTTAAAATTTCTATCGCGTACGCCCCGCCCTCCCCCCCCCCCCCCCCCCCCCNCCCCCCCCCCCCCCCCCCCCCCCCCCCCCCCCCCCCCCAAGGGCGGAGTTCAAACTTGCTACTTTCCATAGGTGTTTCCATGCCGCCCCCTGTACTTCTACCAATTTTGAACGCTTTGGCTCCACTGGAACAGGAGTTATGAGTTTACGGTCCAAAACTTCTATCGCGCACGCTCCGCCCCATGTGGGCGGAGTCTGATCCTAATACCTGCCATAAGGTTCCCATGCTGCCCCCTGTAATCCTGCCAAATTTGACTTTTCTAGGTCCAGGGAACAGGAGTTGTGGATTTGCGGCCTAAAATTTCTATCGCGCACGCTCCGCCCCCTGTGGGCGGAGTGTGGACCTGCCACGTGCCATAAGTGTTCCTATGCTACTCCCCTTACTCCTACCAAATTTGAGCTTTATAGGTCCACGGGGACAGGAGTTATGAATTTCCGGTCAAACACACACACCGACACACACACACACACACCGACACACCAACAGACACACTTAGCGAATTATATAAAGTAGGATTATCACCAAGGGTCGAGAATTGCACAAGATTGGAGAACAAATCATTTTCAGTTATTGATTCCATTAAGATAAAACATGACATGAGTTTGTAAAAAGGTTTTATTAGTTCTTATCACCTTTCGTCAACCTACCCTACCGTAACGTCATATTGCGTGGAACGTACCATAGTGGCAAGGGTAATCGCAAATGCGATAAGTACCTACGAAATAGACCATGAGTAGCAGTGGCCTCTTGGATCTCTTTTAACCTTTACGAGCTGCTATCCTATTCTGACATCCGTCATTTTATATGCAGTCACTCCTTACATTAGTAAAGATGTAAGACCCTACGTTAAAAAGCGCTTAAGTGGTCAGTGGCTCACGCGCTTCCTGCCCCCACCCATGTTCGATCCTGACACCCCCACTTTATTCACTAAAGAGCAATGGTTCCACTGTTAGAACAAAAGGCGAAATGGACCCAGTGATTCCTGTGACGCTAAAAGCAAAGTTATGGACGGTATTGCAGTTATGTGCGTTTCCTACTCTTCTGTGTTCGGCATTAGCGTTCGTACACCTAGGCCATGGCAAGAAGGAAAAAATCCCAGAAGGACCATCATCCATATTCCCGATTGATTTTGAGTTCAAGCTCTTTGAGATATCTGGGACATGATCATACTGCAGGTTGACAATGGTAAATATTTACAATACACCCATGCTGTACACATTTAAATTTCGCATGATTACTTCAAGTAGGAAAGGAGGGGCGTGGTGCGGTAGGAGCGAAATTGTCGCGTCGCGGCGAGAGACGTCGCGGGCGAAGGAATGTAGCAGGATGCAGCAGCTAGTAAGAAAT